TAAAAGGGGATATTTGTTATGAAATTAGTAAACTTTAAAGAACATGATGTAATTTTCAAAATCACATGAGGTAAATAATATTTTAAACAAATCTCATAAATGTATTCGCAATTTATCCTTGAAAAAGTATATTAGCAAAGAAATTCTGGATCACTGAAATTATTATTGTGCAGCAAAATATTTCCATTTATAGATCGGAGAAGACAATGCTGGCATGTATAAATGTAAATATTTTTTCTCAAATTGATAAATTCAATAATATTTTTTTTTGTGTGTACTCATTGCACTACTAATTATTACATGTTTAAATTATATTTATTTTATTTGAAATTTAAAAAAAAAATATAACAAGTTTCATAATTTTGACATAATTAATTGAATTCTTTTAAAATTTTAATTAACATAACATTTAAGTTATTTTTTATTAATAATTCTTGAGTCGTATAGATGACAAGATTTATCATTTCTTTTATACTAAAATATATATGTATCTTTATTTATTTTAATATCTATATTCACTATCTGTAGTAGTTTTGATGACTTTATTAAAAGAAAAGTCACTATAATTATGTAATTTTTTCAAAACCATTGTATTTTCTCAATTATCAGAATAGGTGAATGTACCCTTATTATATATCATAATTTCAACTCAAGAAATTTATCAATTACAGTACTCTGTTTGGTTTAATAATTTTTAAAAATAGTTTTTGAATTTTGAATTTGTATTTTTTTATTTTTAGTGATTTCTTTTAATATTATAATCATTTTTTACTATTTAGATTTACTTAATCTAGATACATTAAAAGTATAAAAATTGTCAATTTTTAAAAAACAATTCACTAAATACAAAAAAATAAAAATAAAAAATTCAGCAAAAAACTCATAATGCTTTGTTTGTTTTGTCTTTTAGGAAAAAAATAATTAGAAACTAATTTGATAAAAATAAATATAAAGACTATATATTTAAAATTTTTAAATTTTTTTTTAACCTCTCAAAAGATAAAATTATATAAAAATGATAAGTATTTTAACAAATTAAATTTTAATTTTTTTTAAAAAATTTTTTTGAAGCAAGTTTAAGAAAGTAGATTGTTTGGAGTATGCTTATTTAGTAGGGTTATGCAAGGAATTCGAAAAATTCACAATCCAAATTGGTCCAGTCTAATTCGGTAGTTTTGGTCTAATTTTTTTAATCCGTTGTTTAATTTATAAGTATTTTAACAAATTAAATTTTAATTTTTTTTTAAAACTTTTTTGAAGCAAGTTTAAGAAAGTAGATTGTTTGGAGTATGCTTATTTAGTAGGGTTATGCAAGGAATTCGAAAAATTCACAATCCAAATTGGTCCAGTCTAATTCGGTAGTTTTGGTCTAATTTTTTTAATCCGTTGTTTAATTTTGGTATGAAAAATTGGAAAATTATTCCTCGCAGATTGATTCCAAATTTGAGTAAATGGTTTCGAATTAAAAAATCGGAATTGGGGTGGCTGCTGTGAGGGGTGCACAGCAGCCACTGCTGTGCAGCCATTTGGGCCCTTTTGGAGGCCCATTTTGATAATCCGAACCGTTCACATTTTAGAATACATCAAGTAGAACATACCTATAAAAAATCAAGTTAATCGGATATCGTTTACCAATTCATCCACACACATTTGTATCTACAAAAATAAATAACAATTGTAATTTAAAGTATTAAAATGAATATAAATGTGAGTGGATGTATGGGTAAACGATATCCGATTAACTTAATTTTTTACAGGTATGTTCTACTTGATGCATTCTAAAATGTGAACGGTTCGGATTATCAAAATGAGTCCCGAAAAAGACCCAAATGACTGCACAGCAGCCACACCATTAAAACCAGACCAGACCATATATAACTTAAACACTGTACACAGCATATACCATGCTGTTGTTATTGTTGTTCTTGGTGCTATTCTTGTTGCCTTTTTAATTCTTTACCATAATTTTAATTTTGTAATTGTTGTTGTCATGATAAAATATTTGTTTGATGTGAGTTTTATATTTATTACATGTTGAATAATATGTTTATTTATTACATATTATGTTTGTTTAAGTTATATTTTGAAAAATCATAAGCAGACTAATGTTGAACAATTTATGATAGGTTAATTTTTTTGAAAATATTATATAATTTTTCTTGTGAATAAATTATGTGAAAGCGTGATTTTATACTGAATCAAATTGTGTTTAAATGGTTTGGTTTGGATGAGTTCCATGATTTAAATGTATTGATTGGTTTCAATTTTTATGGAAGTGTAGACATCGGATTAATTTGTTAATCCGGACTATATTCACCCTTATTATTTAATACATATATTAACATGAAAAAATATATAAAAAAAATTAGTAGTGCTACATGTACCAATTAGTTTATTAATTAGTGTATCAACACTAGTTATGATATTATTATTGACCCCACTCATTAATCACATTACAAATACCAAAAACCTCTTAAATTATGTCACATCATCAATTGGTATACTAGTTAGTACACTAAGGTTGTGTTTGTTTTGAGGGATTAAGGCATGAGATTGAACTAATAGTCTCTTCGGACTAATAGTCCATTGTTTGTAGGGCTGTTCAAAAATCCGTTCAAATCGATAATCCGGACCGAACCAGACCGAATCATACGGTTTGGTTCGGTTCTATTAAGAAGTGGTTCGGTTTCGGAGTAAGAAATATGAGAATCGTAAAAACGGTTTGATTAATGGATTTTATGAAAAAATCGCGGTTTGAACCGAACTGAATTTTAAAAGATATATATATATATATATATAATATCAAGTTTTATTTTTATTAATTGGTTTTTTATAATTTTAATGATAGTAGGATGATATATATATGTAATATTGAGTAATGCCTTAATATTATTAGTTTTTATCATGAGTTAAATATAATTAGTTTGAGTAATTATTTTGCTAATATTAACAATTTATTCTTGTAAATAGAAATTTTGTTGAACCGTAAATCAAACCGAAACCGAACTGTTTTTCCGGTTTGGTTCTGGTCCAGTTTTACAAGTGTAATGGTTTGGTCCGGTTCTCAAAATCATAGAACCGTTAGGATTGATTCGGTTCTTAGATTTTCTGAGAACCGAACCAATCCGGACTGTGTACACCCCTAATTGTTTGATTCAAAATTGTTGTTCCGGACTATTAGTCCCAAATATGTTGAACTATTGTGTTCCATGGGGGAGGGAGGATTAGACACAAATGGGGGAATAAGGGTTATATGGGATTAAGTGGTAAAATAACCATTTTGACCCTCTACTATTTAATTATGTATTATATTTAGTAAAATTTATTGGTCCGGTTCTCAAAATCATAGAACCGTTAGGATTGATTCGGTTCTTAGATTTTCTGAGAACCGAACCAATCCGGACCGTGTACACCCCTAATTGTTTGATTCAAAATTGTTGTTCCGGACTATTAGTCCCAAATATGTTGGACTATTGTGTTCCATGGGAAGGGAGGATTAGACACAAATGGGGGAATAAGGGTTATATGGGATTACGTGGTGAAATAACCATTTTGACCATCTACTATTTAATTATGTACTCCCTCCGTCCCAAAATATTAGTCCCTTATTCCATTTTTCATTGTCCCAAAATATTAGTCCCTCTTTATAAATCAAGTACAAAAATAATGTAAATTTCCTATTTTGCCCTTCTTTTAAATTAATAAACAATTTAAAAAGTACAATTATGACATTGATATTCCCAAAAAATGTACTATCAAAAGGGTAATTTTGGAAAATCAACTTTTTTCAAATGCAATAAGTGTACTACCAAAAAAAGTTGAATTCCCCAAAAGGGACCAATATTTTGGGACGGAGGGAGTATTATATTTAGTAAAATTTAATAAAATTTAAATTTCCCAATTTAAAAATAAAATAATTTTATTTAATTTTTATTGACATTTTATTTATTTAATTTTTTAAAATAATTTTTTATAGATATTTTATTGATGTTTTATTTTAAAATTTTGTTTATATTTTATTTAATTTTATTATTTAAATTTTAATAGATGTTTTATTTAATTTCATTATTTAATTATTATTATTTTCTAAAATAAATTTATTTAAAATTTTAATTAAAAAATAACATTTATTTTTATTGATATTTAATTTATTTAATTTTTTAAAAATAAAATTATTTAATTGTGCAAAAAATAAAATAAAATAAATTTTTATTTAATCTAGCTAAAAATAATAAAAATATTAAAGATATGTTTAATATTGTTATTACTTAGTAAATAATTAAAAAGGAAAAAATAGTCATTTGAGCAGTTATCCTTCTCCATAATACCTCAAACAAACATAGGATTCAATACAATAATCAAATCCAGACATCTAATCTCATAAACAAACATATGATACAAATCTAGTTCAACCAAATAGTCCGGAGACAAAGTATCCCAGGACTAACAATCAGGTGGATTTCAATACCCCTTATTGAGTCCGTCCAAACAAACACACCCTAATTGGTGCATATCGCATTATTCATAAAAAAAAATAGAGATAATATGACCTAAATAAGTGTATTTATTAGATCACCTCCCAAACAACCAATAAAATAAGAATAATACTATATGCATTAATTGATATACTAATTAATATATGGGTGGTGCTACATGCACCAATTAGTATACTAACTAGTGTACTAACACTAATTATGACATTATTATTGACTCCACTCATTAAACAAATTACAAATATCAAAAATCTCTTAAATTATGTCACATCATCAATTGATACACTAATTAATACATATAACATTATTCTTAATATATTAATAAATGATATAATATAATTTTAAAAATTATAAGTCTTTGTGATTTATGAAATAAATATAATTATACTTTTAAAATAATAATATAATAATATATTAATTAATATACGAAATAATGTTTGTAACACTACACGATAAATTAAACATGAGTCAAAAACTGTTTTTTAAAATTGAAAGCGAACGAGAGCGAAGAAAACTGATCATAATTGTAAGTGAGCGAGGACTGGTCAATAAATCGTTAAAACATCGCCGACCCATGTTGTAGTTTGTAACTTGTGTCGGCTACAAAAACACTGGGTTGCACAGACTGATTTCGTCCTCCGTTGAAGACTCCACTGCATTTTCTCTCTCCATGTCCTGAAGTGAGAGAGAGAGAGAGAGAGAGAGAGAGAGGATCTAATGGAGTACGAGAGGATTCACAAAGTTCAGGTATGGCTTCCTCTAATGATCATCTTGTTTTTATTTAAAGCCAATACATAATACAATTTGCAGTTATTAATCTGTGTGTTAGCTAACAGACTATTTTCTGAAATGGGTCTGTGTAGAAAAGTTTCAATGTGAGTGAAAATCTCTGAGTTTTAACACAACACAATTGGGCAGAGCTTGATCTTGATGGGTTTCCCAAATATTTGATTTTTGTTTAAACAAATCTTTCAAATTTTGAATTAGTAAGATAAGAGAACTCATTATGGTGTTTGAATGAAATTCTTGAATGGGGGGCTTTAGTGTTCAAATGATTCTATTACAATGTTGAATTTCTTTTTTTTTAAATCTTTTTGGGTATTTTTCCTGATTATGGTATTTGATTTTTAAATTTTTTTTGGTGGTATAAATAAATGGGTAATGTAGAGTGGTATAATATCTCCAAGTAAATTGAGGATTAAGCTAATAAGGGCAGCTGCTCAGCATCAAAGGAAGAAAGATGGATCAAATAATAACTCAATGAAAACATCTCCTTCCAAGCTTGAGGATTATTAGTTTGTCAACAATAGTTTGTTAGAGGCAAAAACATGTTTAATAGGGTTTTCTTTTCTCAACCACTTTGTTTTTTTTTTTTTTCTTTTTCATTTATGTTATCTGTCTTTGTTTACCATGGTATTTTATGTGACTCTGCTCCATCTTTGTTTTCTCATTACATCCATTGGTAACTAGTATTTAACATTATATTTACTCTCAAACTAATTTTCTGTTTCTTCTTTGTAAACAAAAAGCAGGAAACATATTGTCCAAAAAAAAAAAAAAAAAAAAAAAAAAACTAAAAACATGTTTAATATACATATGAAAAAAAGCAAAAACTAAAAACATGTTTAATATACATATGTTTTCCAAACAAATACTAACAAAAATAAGAAAACATGGTTGGTGAGTTGCGGAAAGGGTGAAGTAGTCGCCAGGAAGGGAAGGGGTGGCTAAAGGGGTGAGGGAGTGGCTGGAGGGGGGAGGGAGGAATAGTGTTTTCAAAGGCTCAAGGAAACCCCAAGGCACCAAAGGTTTCTTGGGGCCTAGTCGCAAGGAGAGGTGCTTGCTTCACTAAAGCAAAAGACACTTTTTCAGTAAAAAAATCAATAAATTAGCATAGACTAATAATTCAAACTTCAACATTAGAAAAATGACAGAATTTGCAACTTACAAGCACTAAGACAAAGAATATCAAGACAAATTATAGAAAAAAAAAAAAGAAAAAAAAAAAAAATCCAAAAAGATAGAAACAAATAAGGTAGGAGAAGAGGAAAAAAACAGATAGACTTGAACCTAGAGTATAGGGGGCCAATTGAAGTAGAGAAGAAGAGGAGAAGAAAGAAGTCGCCTAACTTGGAGCACAAATTAGGGTACCTAGAAACTGAATGGTTGGAATGTAGATACCAAAGGGCTGAGGAGGAATGACTGGAGAGTTTCATTGATCCTTTATTCAATGAAGACTTGGGGCTTTTTTTGTTTGAGGATTTGATCAATGAAATTGAGGCTCATCACAATTTTATATATATATATATATTTTTTAATTGGGCGTTTTAATCGCATGTGGCAGTATATATAAGTCCATCAGAGTACAAAAATAAAAATAAAATTCTTGGTATTAACAAGAAATTCAAAAGTAAAATCTTAAATAAAGCATGCTCCTTGCACTTTAAGTGTGATCCTCAAGCACCTGGCTGCTCTTCATTGAATACGCTGTGCCTTACTGCACCTTGTGCCTAGGTGTGCCTTTTGCAACACCGAGGAAGAGGGAATGAAAACTTGTTTTGAAAACAAATGAATTTGTTTTTTTGAAAACTGTTTCCATTTATTTGGAAATGAAAAACAGTTATCAAACATATTTTTGTTTTCAGTTTTCAAAATTTAAAAATAAAAAAATGGAAATCAAAAAACAAAAAATGTTACCAAACAGGCGTTGCAGTTGTCAGTGCATATTGACTTGAACTTAGACTGAATTTTATCCCCTACATAACCTATTATGCAAATTTTGGAACTGATGTTAGGGATATGTCATCCTTCGGTTTCAACACCTCAGCTTGGTATGGTTGTTTCTGATTCTTGGCTTCTTTGATTTAATTATTAGGCAATCTGGTGGTAGATGTTGGCCAAGGGAATCAGAGTTCATGCCAGCCAAGGGAAAATATCAAAATGCAGCAATTTTCTAAGTGTGATAGTGGTAATTCAAGTTCAGTTCACCCAATGCGAACATTCGAAGATGAAAATCTTGATTATGATAGTAATGCTAGTTCATCTAGCTTTGAGTTTCATAAAGGAGAACGATTACTACACAATTCTATAAATAGATCACTATCGAGACCTATGCCGTCTAAGTGGAACGATGCAGAGAAATGGATAATGAATAGGCAAAATAATATGCAAGCTAATTATTCTAAGAAATCTCATCTACAAAGTCAAGCAACTCGGTTACCGATCACAAATACAGTGAGAGTTGCTCCGGACTCTGCTAGTTATGATCAAAAGCTGTCAGTTAAGTTGGTTGATTTCTGTCAAACAACATCTCAAATGGGCTTTGAGAAGTTCTCTTTTGGTCAAACCAATGGGGCAAATGCAGTAATTGATCTGTATCCTCAGAGTAAGGATTTGAAGGAAGTGGACAACAGGGACGCATCTTGTACAAAGAGTTCAATTGAAGATACCACAGGTAATCTTTCCTATGATTCATTTTTTAATGAAGTTACGTGACTTAATTTAATTTACATTATTATGTCACATAACTTCATTTACTTCTTTAAGCTATGTGATATTGGGTTGCCTGGAGTTCCAAAACAGAACTATTCAGATGAATTGGATAATTTTAAATTCCTTGTTCAACATACATAAAATCCCCATGCCATGCGTGCATTCTTCATTGCATATGACTTTCCTTTGATACATCTGAAACTCAGTTATTTCCCAGTCAAGACCTCAAAAAATTTTGAATACTCAGTTAAGATTTGTACTTAAAAGAGTCCTTGTATCAATTTCTGCTTCATAGATGGTTGATACATAATATTTTCTTTTTTCATCATCCAATTAGGATATTCTCGGCTAGATGATTCCTTGTAATTTCATGGTCTCAGTTTCCACGTCATCATACGCTCTTCATCTGTTTAAAAATTTGATTTTGTGTAAATCTCAGTTGTAGTTTTATTTGTAGCTACGTGTACGTACTAGTACATATATGGATATTTGTATTCATAATTCACTCAATATAAACAGCACTGGAGTTGATATCTTTTCTGCTTCAGATGTTTTTTCTAACCATAAAGATTGCCTATCTAAAAAATTTTAATCTCATATGTTGGCATTCATGATTAATCATACAGATCTTCCTGCCATAAGATCAGTTTGTATGAGAGAGATGGGTACAGAAATGACCCCTATTCCAAGTCAAGAGCCTTCAAGGACCGCAACCCCTGTGGGGGCCACAACACCGCTTCGCAGCCCAACTTCTTCAATCCCATCTACTCCTCGAGGAGGAGCACCGGGACCCACCCCTAATGGGCAAACCACTGATGACAAGTCATCAGAGCATAGCAAAAAAGAATTGTCAGAGCAAGAATTAAAGCTCAAAACAAGGAAGGAGATATTAGCCCTTGGTGTCCAACTAGGCAAAATGAATATTGCTGCCTGGGCAAGTAAAGATGAGAAGGAAAAGAATTCCTGTGCGCCTGAAACAATGGATCAACGGATTGAATTTGAAAAACGTGCAGCTGCATGGGAGGAAGCTGAAAAATCCAAACACACCGCAAGGTTTCTTCTTACTACCCTTACTGTTGATCTATGTTACGTGGACTCCTTTGTTTTTCCCAAAATACCCGTGTCTAAGCAGATATGACAAGGGTAAGGGTGTGGGATATGTGTCCAACACCCGTATCCGATTTAGACATATGAATCCTCTATTTTGTTAGGATGTTGAAGAAGAATAAACTCACATTTGCTACTAAAGAACATTTCTAGCCTCACATATGGATGAGGGATAGAATTTCCTTTGTTTTTGTAAATCCTATTTAATTTTAAGTATATTTCTACATAATTTGCAACATCTTTTCTAAGAATTTTATACAATATACAATATATATGTGTTCCTGATGTGTCCCCGTACTTATATCCAGTTTATGGATACATATCCCAATATCCAAGATTTAGGTTTATGAAAGTTTTGACGCTTAGACACCTGCTTGTACCCGAGTTCATGTAACATAGCTCTTGATCCATTTAAACAAGTTTTCTCATGATGACAAAGGCATTTAGTTTCAGTTTCTTATTTTGACATGTCCTACTAGACTATCCAATGGAGATTTTGATGTTAGGATGTCCAAAAAAAAATAAAAAAATTTGTAGATACAAGCGTGAAGAAATCAAGATCCAAGCGTGGGAAAGTGAGCAGAAAGCAAAACTTGAGGCAGAGATGAGGAGAATAGAGGTATGTGAGAGTTCAATTTTAGTTTTATCATGGAGGTGTTTGGAACCTCATTCAGCATCCTTTTTTCTTTTTTAATTGAAATGAATTGGATTTCAATACAATCATTTATAAAATTTGGTGGCGAAAGAAGATTAAAGCAACAAAGATCTTTAGGATCTTAAAAACCTGAATGGATTACTATTAATCTAAACAATGTACTACTGCTACCTTCATCGAAGGTTGACTAGAATTTGCCCATGTGCGGATGGAGAACATCTTTTTGTTAACTCTGGACTATCACATGAGCAGCTTATAGCTTTGATATAAAGCGATTTAACACTTTTCAGGCCCGAATTGAACAAATGAGAGCACATGCTCAAGCAAAGATGGTGAGGAAGATAGCAATAGCAAGGCAAAAATCAGAAGAAAAAAGGGCTGCAGCTGAAGCCAGAAGAAATGAACAGGCAGAGAGAAGCTCAGCTCAGACAGAATACATTCGCCGAACAGGTCGAATTCCATCATCATCAACCTTCATCTGTTGTGGTTGGTTTTCGTGACTCTGCAAATATTCTGTTGCTTCTCCATACAATCACTTAGCAAAATTAGCCTCTTTTGTTTGTACTCTGTTTTGGATTTCATCATGAAAAGGAGTGTTGTCCTTTATGTTATTCATTCCATGCTTGTATTTACTGAGAAAACCTCAGTGTAAGTTGTCTCATGAAATGAATTTTACATTTGATGCACAGATTGTTAATTTGTGTTCCTTATGCCCATTAAGAGGTAGTGTATTGAACCAATAGCAGTTGTCTCATGATAAAATATGTTCCTTGTGCCCATTTGATGAACTTTTGGGTTCCTTCTATATTTTGTTTATACTTTCGAAAATTTTGATTAAAAGTAGCATGTTGGCCTATGACTTCCTTAATAGATTTTTCCCCTAATCTAAAGCATTGAAACTCCAAAAACTTTGCCACAAATTCTCCTTTTTTTTTTATCATCATATTCATTTGATTTGAAAATAATTTTTTCCCTTGTCAAAACCGGACCACATTTTAACTTTGGACAAAAAATACGAACATAATTAAATTAGAGCATATTTGTAAGTTTGGGAATGAAATATTTTTTGGAAATGTTATATTTATTACATTTATAACAAACAAAAAGAAAAACTGATTACGGGGTTTGCTATACATGACCCTGACAAGATTATCATTCAACAAGGGCTGCAGGCTTGGCTAGAGAGCGTCGATGATATCCAGTGCCCTTAACATTTTTCTTATTAAAAATCTTCAACTGTTATTATACCTTCAAATCACAATTCATTTTTTTTTTTTTTTAATTTTTTATGGATACCAGGCAAATAGATACTCTCCTAAAGTACACACAGATTGAACATGTCTATTCATAAGCTATAAGTCAAAGTCTTAAGCAAGTGTGAAAAACACAACATTTTATTTGAATTACATATATACCAACTGGTCTGTGCTAATAGAGAAATCTAGTAAACACCCAACATCTACAACCTGGATGTTGACAGAATATGAGAAACAACTATGCTTAGGTGAAAGAGAATCAAAGATACACATGCATCCAAGTCATACTTGCAAGGGGAAGGGGAATAATCTTGTTCCTTTTTCACAATCAGTAAGAACAACTTATCTATCTTAAAAAATTGCACCATCTCATATTTGGTAGCATCCCCAAACAACAATTAGAATAGTTGAGCCTAGTTTCTTATTTTTTGTTCACATATAACATCAAACATTTTTTTTTTTTTTTTGTTCTTTCAAAAAAACATATTTGTTGTACACATGTTTTAAAAGCATGTAATAACATCAAACATGATGTTTTTTTCTTCTTCCAAATAACATATTTGTTATACACATGTTTTCAAAGTACGAAAAAATAAAAACTTGTTTAGTAAATTGGCAGGTGGTGGCCGAAGGCAATGGGGGGAAGGAATAAGGGAATGCAGACTTGTTTTAAAAACAAATGTTGATATCTAAAATTTTGCAAACATTTTTTTTTTTTTTGAAATGAAAACAGTTCACAAACTAATTTTTTAAAACAAAAAACAATAAAATGTAAAACAAAAAGTTACCAATCAATGTGGAACTTCATATTTTGGCTTTCATTTCCATTAAGCTGCATCTACGTTGGGCTTGTTACTACTGCATTCATCTTAAGACAAGAAACAACAATGAACCAACAAACAACATTCTCAAAATTCCGATGAACTCTCCACTTTCTCGTTTTCAATTCTCAGAACTGCCATATTAAGAACTCAGATAGGTTTTTGTCGTCTTCATCATAAACTCATCATGTAAAAGGAAATATGAATTAGCTCCAAAACCTATCATTGCCTCTTTTGTTTCCAATTCATAACAGCATCACTCATCTTTGGGCTATTTGGATATTAGATTTTTGTAGTGAAAACAAATAGACGAGAGAAAATATAGTGAAAAAATCTAAAATTCCCGAGATTGTGATTTATGACTATGATTTAGTTTCAACAATGAATAACAATTCCCAATCAAACAATCATAGATCTAATTCAACTATAAAAGAATTGTACTAGATCTACTATCAAGCAACAATAATGGACACCAAACGATTTTATGTAGAAAAAATCACAATTAGACTCCTTCAATTGTGATAAAAAAAAATCACGAGCCCATGACCACCAAAGCAATCCACTAAGAATGATAAGAATTACACAATGAATTCATACAATCACCTAGCGAATCCACGCCCAATCGCCTCATATCCCTCGTGTCTCTTCCAACGCAATCTTCACTTCGAAATTGATTCTCCAAACGTTGAATCCACAATGGCAATGTAAAATTCACGATGATGAGTCACTTCGGAATCCACTGAAACTTCGAAGCTCAAGTTCTTCAGAATCCACCGAAAAAACATCTCTATAGAAAAGTGTAATTGAAATACAAACCCCTTGATGATCTTCAATGTAAGCAAATTGATTCATAGATGACTCTTAATTCATCAAAGCACACAAATCTCACTAAAAACAACTCTATTTTTTGCACTTATGTGACAACCAACCTTTCGTGCATAATGCATATCATGTATTACTTGAAATCTTATGTTATATGCTTGCTTGAACTAGAATTTGATAGCGAACATAAGAGAATGAGGAGTTAGTTTGAAAATTTAAGCCTAGAGAATTGCTTGTTTCATGCTTCAAGTTAGGGAATGTTTTGGAGTAGAATTTGAAGACCATAGGATATGCCTATTCCTTAATTGAGGAGCTTAAAGACTTCGGTCCAATATACTTGTTCATTTCATGTTATTTGTTGTTTTGTTAATTAGGATTAATTAAGTTAAGCATGATTAGTTAAACCTAGATTAGTTAATATAAACCTTGGTTAATTAAGTTAGATAAGCAAAATTGTTAAACTAAGCAAGCACACACCTCCACTCTTTTTGTCTTGCACATTTTGTCCCACCTTGAGTCATCAAAACCTAAGGAAAGGAAAGAAAATCTGTGGGAAATTTGAGAAGGAGCTAGAGAGAAGAAGAAGCAAAGGGAAGAAGAGAGAAAGAAGAGAGAGAAAGCAGAGAAGCTCAAGGATTGCACCAAAACTCATTCCTTAACAAGTCTAAGGTAAGATTTCTATTCCAATTCTTGTAGTAGACCTTTCTAGCATCCAAGATCAAGAAAAAGTTAGGATTAAATTGGTTGAGGAATGAAGAAATTTGGAAAAGAATAATAGAAGTTGAGCTAGTTGAAGAACTAGGTAGGAAGCTAGGATTTCATCTCATTTAGAAGTAGTTTATCATGTTCTTGATACTTATGAACCTTCATCATCATCTATCCTTTGATTTGCATAAGTTTTATAGCTAGAAATCATGTTTACAATGAAGGGAAAAGATTGGTTTATGAAAAGATAGATTTTTCTCAAATTCTTGATAAACTTCAAGTTTGATCCTTGATTCTTGAATTTAAACCAAATTTTGATGCTTTTGATTTGGAAAACAATCTTATTCTCATGTTTACCATTGATTTTGCACGGTTTATGTTGAGTTTTTATAGACCCTAGCTCAAGAACATGCAAGGAAAAAGCTTAGGAAATGTAGAATTTTCGAACGGCAGCATCTACCCAGAACCGCATGTGCAGCAGGAACTCTCACACGTGCGGCCAACTATCCTCTGTTCACCAGTCAGCTCTGAAAAAAGGGCAGGTGCAGGCCACACTTGCCTTGGCCGTCTCGCACATGTGGATTGGGTCTTGCACGTGCATAAATTCCCTATTTTGCCAATGCTTTTGTTCTGTAACCCTCTTTTACATAGGACACTTCTTGTAGGTTTGAATTAGACCTAGAACAATGCTAGAACACTTGAGAGAATTTAAAGAAAAGATTTAACTAAGTTTAAACAACCGATTTGTTATGAAAATGCATGTAAGTTAGGAATTTCAATGCTTTGATCTTGTTTTGTGTAGGTCAAGTTTTGGAAGAAGGAAGAATCCCTTGTTTAACCGAGCCATTTGTGAGTAGTGATTTAGTAATGTTCAAACGATTATGTTTTCAATGCAAACTTGGATTATGTTTACAAGTTATGATGTGTTTTGCTATGAATGAATATTCTATACTCTCTTACCATGTACTTAGATGGCATTCTTGGATCATGTCCCACAATTGGGGAAATATCCAATCATGTATTATGGCCGAGCTCAGCTTGTTCTGTTTAGCCGGTACCCAGGCCGGTTAAGATCCTTGTAATCCTTGAAATGTCCATCATTATGTAATGTTTGCAAGTCAAGTATGTATTGCCTTGTTCAAATTAAAGTTATGTTTCAATGTTATATATATGAAGCTCATTGATGTTCATTCATTTACCGTCTTACTTCATTACTATTCATTGGGCAATGGCTCACCCCTCTCCCTTATATGTAGGTAGGTAGGTGAAGATGAAGATCAAGGACATGAGAATGAATTGCACTAGAACCTTTTCCTTTTCTTTTGTTCTTTTGGGAGTTGTAATCTTGGAACATGAGTTTCATTTATATGTTCTGGTTTTTATAATGTACTCTTTTCTTTTTATTGTATAAACTTGTAAATGTTAAGGTAAATAATTAAGAGGTTTGCTGCTTTTGTTTCATCATACTTATGCACTTGCCCTGGATAGACTTTGATTAATATAATGAACAGGTAATTTTGCACAAGCCCCAAAGTTATAGATTAGTCCCGTCTTGTCTTGCTAGGCCTTCCGTAGTCAAACACTACTAGCCGGTTGCAGCTACTATCCTACTTGGGGTGGGATAGGGTCGTGACAACTTCAGTGATGAATATTTGAGAGTCTCAACTTAGATTTGATCTAAAAATGCACTTTTAAGTGACTGTAACTGACTCAAATTGCTTGAGCCGAACTTTTTAATGTTGTAGAATTTGTCTCTAAGGCTTTGAGAAGCTGCAAGCATATCTTTTTGTACTCGAGCACACATTTCTCCGCGCAAAGTGCTCATATCTTTGCTTGAGTACAAATTGCTTCTCTGCTCGAGCTCACATATCTCTGCTTGAGCACAAACTGCTCGAGCACAAATTGGGTTGAATTCACATCTAAAACACTCATTCTCACAAAACACAAAAGAATAAATACAATTACAATTGAATAAAATTTTGTTAAACGGGATTGTCAATTACAAAAGCCTTAACATATATAAAAATAAAATAAAGTGAAATAGATTAAACTTTTCGTTTTGTTTTATGTGAATTTTTGTTCTTAGATGTATAATTCACATCTTTCAACAAATATATCAAGCACCTAACATCCTGAAAGCTCTTGGCAAAGCTACCTGAGGATAGATGATCCTTGATATGATCAAGAGAACTAGTATAGTATTCAAATCAATTAGGAGAGAGAGAGAGAGAGAATTGCAATGATCAAACACTTTCTAAAGATTTTGGGATGGATTGCACACACCAAAGAGATGTATTGGATGCATTGATGACGATCGGTCATCACCTCTGCCATGTAGGATTTTGCAGCAAACAAGAAGCCACCTCCATGGCACCTTGGGCCGATGTGTCCGTGCAAAGTGCCCCATGCAAGCGTCACATAACCCACACCGCATCGTGCGTACATACACATTAGCTTTCTTTACAATTTGACATTCAAAAGAATATTTCATATTTTTCTTATCCTTTCAACATGGGACAACTCCAAAACTTTCTTCAAGCTTAAAAATAATAATAATAATAATAATAATAATAATAGTAAAAGGGGAGGTTTTAAAAATGCACCAAAAAAATGAAGTTTATTTTTGAAAATTCTCTAATGCTGTGTTTGGTTGGAATTTTTGAGGTGGGATTTAGGAAAGGAATGAGAAATGTAATCCTATTTATGTTTGGTTATAATAAAAAATATATGAGAAAAGAAAGGGGGTGAGAAATAAATAAAGAAATAGGATACCTTTTAGGACATCAATTCTATTTTATAACCAACACAACCAAACATAGTTGGGATTTGAAATTCTTCTCCTTTTCCTTTCATTTCCATTTCCCTTCCCAAATCCCCCAACCAAACACAGCGTAACAAGGGAACTCACAATTGATAAAGGAATGAAAGATGAACTGAATTTCTGGAGTGGCAAACCACCATGACTTGTAATTAGAGACACCATGGAGAAGTTGGTAAATAATTTGAATGGTTTAGTGCTTATTTATTTATATTTACTTTTATACAAATTCAACCAATCCAAAACTCAAGCCCTGGTCTATATAATGTGTTTCTGTGACATCAGTGTGGCAAAATTATTTCAGTGAATGATAGTTTAATTGTTGAATTTGTTGTTTGCTTACGACTACGTTTCATTGAATTTTCAATACATAATTTAATGACCAATTTCATGTAATTCTCATGATTTTTTCTGTTGTAAATTCCCTCTAACCGATTAACCAATAAAAATAAATAAATAAATAAAGAATAAAATTTAAAGAAAAAAGCCCTGGCCTTCTTTCTGAAATATACATCTCCATGTGAAAATTCTGTCATACTAAAATTCATCATGCACATATGGTTCAACATTTGGCCTGTTTAGTATTAGCTGAGGAGTTAAAAATCGATAGTCAGAAAGAAAGTAGAAACCAAAAACATCCCCGCCTAATTTCTAAACAAACGGTACAAGCAAAACTACACCAAACAATCACACAAACATACAATAAAAAAAAGGACCACACCAAAAACCCTACCACCTTTAAAATAGTTACTACTGTGCTGTGTTTGATAGTGTGCCTTTTCCTCCTCAGTGACCATTCCGTCACTCCAAAAGGTCACCATCTATTTCCACATAAAATATGTCAACAAACAAACATCCAAAACACACACAAGGCAACCTTCAAGTCTACCTCAGTACATGGTACTAGTAAAGCTCATGCCCACAGGACCACATCTAGACTACTACGAGTGCCATCCACAACACGAATCAAGCTGTGCACAAAAACAGCATTGTGGAGCAAGCCTACTAGTTACAAACAGAAAAAAAAAAAAAAAAAGGGGGTACATGTGATTAACATGTCAAATACACACCAATAAAACAAAGGCTAATAGCTTCTACAACAAAAACACTACGATGATAAATACAAAACACTCAACACCAAAAATATATAAAATAAAGATCATTTAGGACCCTTCTTGAGTCTTGACAATTTCTTACATGGTTCCCATCATTTCTGAGTTCAGATATATATATATATACACACAGAGAGAGAGAATGGTGGACCAACAGATAGACTAAAGTCCAGACGGCACTAACAGAAGATGATTTGGAAGCAGAAGTGGATGTATGCACTGTATCGACTATGAACCTAACAAAGGCAAAGGAAAGGTGGACAAAGAATTGGTTGTTCCATATTGCTACAACGAAGAGACCGATCACATGGGTACTGGAACCTTAAACATTAGTTCCAAGACCCACGTGATCCAAAAATATTGGAAGTCTATTGAAGTTCCAGTCACAATCAACACCAATAATGTCATGTCCTAAAACTTCAGTTCATCATAGACAGATAGATAGCAAGACAATAAAACAGAAGCTATCCCCAAAAAATAAATTCTCCTAATAAATAGGTTCTTCTGTATTCCTTAAAACATAGAAACCACTTAAGATTTTATATTATAATTGCACTGTAGCTTTTATATATATATATATATATGTTTTTATGCTAGAAGTAGGCAAATCCTTCCCAGCAATATATCAATTTGGAAGAAATGCTAAAATTACAGAAGATGGGGAAAGTAGCTTAACTAGCTAAATCATTTCAGTACTCAAGAGATCCTACAGAAGCAATCCCAGAGCTCAAATTTCTTGAGTCCTGTTGGCTTGTGTAGTCATCGCAGCTGCTATTAGAGAACCTCTGTATTGGGACCGAGTTTAGAAGTTCTAGACCATGTTTGCCCATCTGCTGCACTTCTTGTGGAGAGAGTATCTTGATGCACCACACGCTATTTACAAACTCCCTGGGGCATGGTAAGAAGCATAAGATATGTAAGATGTGAACCAACAAAAGATGGGATTAAGACAGAATAAAAGGCAATATCCCACAATCAAGCAAGCGTTAAATTTGGATCACAACCCCATAAGCACCAGAAACTACATGTACACAAGCACAAATGTAAGAATGGTCATATGGATATGGACATCACATTTCACCCCTTTTTTTAACGATGGCTTCTTTAATTTGATAAACTGCTAGAAATCATTAGATTGGGTGATGAAAACCACATGAATCACAATAATTTTAGCACTGAATGTGCCTCATAATTGGTGCCGATGCTTGAAAACCCACGCTCTAGGCCTAAACTTGGAGGCAAGTCATTCCCCTAAAAGGATAGTCCAAAGACTCCAAGAAGCTTATAAAATGTGAAAATAATAGTAAAAAATACATATTTAAAAGGAAAAAAAAGAAAAAGAGTAAAGGATTTAAAACTCACTGCCAGGGGTCATCACCAAGGAGAAGAACATCATTCTCCCGGTCAACAAATACAAGCTGCCAGCCTGATCTCACAGGGTCCTCCAACTGGCCATCAAGGCCAAACATGCCAGCAAGCTCACTGCGCAACTCATTGTAGCTGCTGAATTTGGAGATGTCTAGTGATCTGCCAAAGGACCCTAACTTATAAACCTGTCTCGTTAACACCAATAATCATATTACTATTTGAGAAAAAGAAGAAAAAAAAAGACTACCATACGCACAGCAATGCCCAATAACATGAACATGAAAAGATAACAAGGAAAACATAGCAATTTATTTTTTTTGGGGGGGGGTGGTTACAGGGAACCGGAGATGCTAAAACTGCAACCAAAAAAAAAATGGATGGAAAGGACATTTTCATAAACCACACAGAAATATCAGGCCAACATATATGTTAGAAACCAAAGTGGGGAACTAACCTTAACAAAGGTTCTGGTTGGTGGGTTTGCTTGACCCACATTTTCAGGAGACTGCAGGAAACCTGATTCATCAATGCAACTGGAAGGTGTCATCACCGGATTAAGTGAAAAATCAGTACCTGCAGTGCCTGTAGTACTCACGTAATTACTGGGAGAAGAAGCAAAGGGTACAGTTGTTGAATCATTATCACTACCAACTCCCCTAATGCTTGACAACCCATTCTGCATTAGAAGAGATGACGAATCTATATTAACCCCAAACAGAAGATGGTTCTGAGGATCATTGCTCCCTTCTTGATCAATGGAGCACTCCCTACCAGGAAATGGTGGCAAAGAGATGGCATTTTGAGAGGTGTGTGTATGGGGTGGTCCCAACTGTTCCACCTGGGGCAGAATACATGGCGACGTTGCAGAGGGTAGAAGTGGGTCAACTGCAACTCGCTTTGGTGGCCAGCCAGCAGAAGATAATAGTGCATCACTTCTTGGCAAGTTGAGTATGTGGGATGCTTCGTCATGGGAAAATGAACCGATAAGACTCTGGAGAGGCGAAACAATAGCATTGGTTGCAGGGTTTCCATTTGAGTCAGAAAAGCTCTGCTGTTGACACATGGAAGAGATGGCTTGCAATGATGGTGACTGGGTTTGAGAGCTTGAAGCAAACTGAGATAGAGATGAAACGACAGTTGAAACTTGCTGATGATCAACCAGTTGCTGTTGCTGTTGCTGTTGTTGCAACAGTGCTGGCTGCGGCTGCTGATGTTGATGTTGATTAGTGAATGAGTGCTGGTGCTGCAATTGTTGCTGAAGAAGATGAGACTGAGACTGAGACTCAGACTGAGACTGAGACTGGGACTGGGCCTGGGCCTGGGCCTGGGATTTGGGCTGATTCTCTTTAACACTACGAAGAAAAACAGGTTGAGGCTGCGACTGTTGTGAGATCTGGGGCTGCTGATGTTGATGTTGATTAGTGAATGAGTGCTGGTGCTGCAATTGTTGCTGAAGAAGATGAGACTGAGACTGAGACTGAGACTGAGACTGAGACTGGGCCTGGGCCTGGGACTGGGACTGAGTCTCTTTAACACTATGAAGAAAAACAGGTTGAGGCTGCGACTGTTGTAAGATCTGGGGCTGCATTAGACCAGCAGGCCAGCTTGGGAAACTTTGGGGCTGCTGGAATTGCAGAAGAGATGGATGTGTCTGTTTGGAAGGATCCACAGCCCTCATCTCCTGAAGAGCAGAAACAGCCATAGCTTGGTAAATGTCAGTTTGCATACCAAGCATTGAGGTATCAAGCCTTGGCTGCATCCAGGGTGTGACACTAATGCCCTGAAAATTGAGAGACTGGATACTGTGATCTACGTTATCTCCACGAAGCCACGTAAGTGGTGAATTCATTCCCAGATCATCCTCTTTAATCCCTATGTGTAAAAACAAGATACAGATAACAATACAAAAATTGAAATTAGAAAGTCCATCCTTGACACCTAATTGCAATAAATGAGGCAGTTTGGACAAAAAAGATAGAGATCAAGATGGGATCTTCAGAAATACTGTGTTTCCATTTCTATAATTGGTAGACAAGTATACCATTGAAAGAAGGTAATCCAAGTGGCCATGGTCGCTTTAGTCTGAGGGGGAAAGGGGATGGATACATGGGGAATGTTGTTAAGGGTTCAATTTCCCAAAGAGAGACTCTTGGCTGCCTTTCCCCAGCTGTAGACTCATCCCAACCAACCTGCATTCACCAAGTCAAAGTCCATTACACTGTCTTGTTCATTTTAAACCATTGTACAGAAAGAATTATAAATATATGTACGAGTTACACGACACTGGAAGTATCAGAGCAGTCATAAGGTATCTTATTGAAATCATCGTAACAAAGAATTATAAATAGCAAAATCAAAATGCAATCCAAAAACCTTCACTGAGCGCCAATGTGAGTTTGGCCACCGAACGGAATCCAAGTCACTTATTCCAGTTATCGTGCCCATGTAGCTGGATATATATTTTAAAAAGAAAGAAAGAAAGAAAGAAAAGTGTCAATTCTAGATTTAAAACAACTAAAACCTTTTAACTTTGCAAGAGGAAGTCATAATAACAAATGGGGGAATGATATTAAAAACAAAAACAAGGAAAGGAGCAACTTGATGGGATACCATCAAAGGATAAGAAGAGCACTGACATTTGAATAGTGATGACACACGCAAAATATTAAAAAAAAAAAAAATACAACACAATATTATGTCATTATATATATATGACTAATTCATTCAATTAATTTCAAAAGTTTAAAGGAGCAAGAATTAGTAGGTATATAAATCTGTTGTTTTCATGTATCATTAGATCCTAAGTTAATTTGTTCAAGCTTGAAATGTGTTTCATGTATGACTAAGTAATGGTCTCCAAAGTGTTTGAAACATGTCCAGGTCTACATTTGTTTTTTTTTTTTTAGGGAAATTATAAAATAAATAAATAAATAAAAGAAAGAAAAAATAAAAGCCAATATTGTAACAAAATAAACCCCAAATTTTTAATTTTGCCAATTTAAATTCCAATCTTTTGATTTGGTTTCAATTTAAACCATCAATCTATTTTTGCTGAATAAAACAGACAAAGAAAAGATATTTTAGTTATTAAACTCAATGTAATATACATAAAATGCCTAAAATATATATTTTTCCCATCGAGTTGAATGACTAAAAAATTGTTTGGTTTTGGTTAATTTTCTAAAAATTGAGTTTTTTTTTTTAGTAATTTTTAAAAATATTTTACGCAATTTTTTTTTATTTTTTAAATGCACCTAACCTAAATACACATTAAGTAAAATATTTGTGAAAAAAATATTTAAAAAATCAATAAATACACAAAAATATGAAAATTTATTGTATTTTTGTATTTTTTGTATTTGGTGAATCTTCTTAAAAAAAAAATCATAAATATTATACTTTTTAAACGTATCTAGGATAGGCATATCTAAAAAGTAAAAATTAAAAAAAAAATCATTAAAAAAAAAAAAATACGGAAAATAAAAAACTCAATTTTTTGAAAAGTGAGTTACACCAAACAAGGTAATTTTTTCTGTTTTACTTAACGGAAATAGGCAAATGATTTAAATTGAAAACAAATCAAAAGTTGGGTTTAAATTGACAATTAAAAGTTCAAGGTTTATTTTGTTAGGAGAGTCAAGCCCTAGGTTTTTTTTTTTATTTTTTATTTTTTTTAGGGCACATTTGGATGGATATCTGACATGTGTCAAGTGCCTGAGTGTCGACGTCCAATGTGTCCAACAAGAACACGTTCTTAGAAATGTTTGTGCTTTTTAGTATGCAAGTATTTGATTTGAATAGAAACATAGACCAAAAAATACCCAAACAAATTTATGCCAACTAAGCAAACATGTTGTGGTCAAATCTTGCTTTCCAATACAATATGAACAGAAAATAACAACAATGATCTGTCCAGAAAACAACCTTTTCAAAATATATATATCCCTGAACAAACTTCTAAACAATTGTAAGCCAAACAGAAGGTAGCTGGCTAAACTGCATAACTAAGTGAATAGTTGCCCCAAAAGACGTCCCAGACACAACTCCTTATAGTTTTTATTTACTTTCCAATTCCAAACCATGAAAAACAGATTTTATAATAAATACTAATACTACTGCTACTACTACTACTACTACTAATAATAATAATAATGATAATAATAATTATGGCAACCATGATAGCAATAACAAGATATTCAAAACCTACCGACGGACACTCGATTCTTCAGTTTCAAACAGCATCCGAAAGCGCATGCCAACAGAAACACGAGTATGATAGGCTGCTTTAACATATTTGGCTAGAGGTATGACAAATTCTGATGGGCTAGCCCTGCATTTAAGGTGACATAATTTGAAAACAATATTAACTCTTGAAAAAACTAAAAGCTCTGTTTGGTTTCATTTTCGAAATCTGTTTTGGGAAAAAAAAAATTCAAAAAACAAAAAACACATGCCTTGGATTAAAGAATATGGTGAAGCGGCTATTAGTTGAAGCTGCATGAGCTGCCGCAGCAAGAAGCCCCAAGTGCATGCTGTCACTTGATAGAACTGAAGAAGGCATCACAGTTTGAGGCCGATTAGCCCGCCTAATACCAAGAAGTAATTGGTTCTTTTCATTCCTGAAGGATTAAAACACGATTCAGTTTTAAAGCTGCTAAACAACAGCTGGTTTACAGTAGAATATGTGCATAATACTATGGAGCCAACATGAGAAAAAATATAAAAAGTAATAAAAAATAGCATAGTGAACACTAGTAAACAAATCCTTTAATCTCAATTCCATTTGATCAACAGCCCCCCAAGGATCCTTTATAAATTAAACAATAAAAGTAACTCTACCCAAAGCCAACCAGATAAAAGCTCCTAGAAATATTAACTTTCTTTTTACAGTCATAACTTCACCACAAAAATAAGGTTAGGATCAGTCAAACATATCAGTTTTGGAGGTCATGCTCAGCAGCAGAACACAAAAAGGAGAATGCTTCCTATAACAAATACATCCAACATGCACCCAGAAAACATTAGAGAGAAGGTTAATATAGAAAACTTGCCAAATCCCTACCATATGAAAAGGACTGAATCACCGGCAACAAGTCGTTTTGCACTTACAAACACACTCCATCCAGTTGTAAGAAGATGCCTCTTTGGCTGGCCTGCGATAAGAACAGAACCAGAATTGCTAAGAATCACATAACAGGTTTCCCACAATCATTTTTCAAGCAGGTGGATTTTATACTTGGTCTAACAAGCATGGACACGGACACGTGACACAACACGGATACGATTTAATTTTCAAAAAATGCAGGACACGACACGTGGGGGGACACGCATGAAACATATAATTTTATATATTTATTACATATTATATATATAAATATATCATTCAAAGATAATAAAAGATGCAATATGACACTAATTCCTATAAATTTATGAGTTTTGTTTTATTATCGTATCTTAAGTTGTTTTGTTTAAAATTATAATTAGTTTCACATGTGTCTAATCGATAGACACGTGTGTTTAAGCAATTGACACGTGTGTCCTCCAAGTGTCTAAAGAGTGTCCTGGTCTTTAAAAAAATTTAAAAAATAGGACATGTTTTGAAGAGTGTTGGACACGTGTCCTAAAAGTGTCGGTGTCCGACACGGACATGACACGGATATGTCACCTTCTTAAAAGTGTCCATGCTTCTTAGTACTTGGTATAACATAGAACCATTTGCAATTTTTATTGGCTCCAAACTGAAATATGAAGAACGCCCAAACACACATTTTGATTTACAGCCTCATACTGATGCAGGACAGGCAGGGACAGCAGCAAAAGCAGGCTTTTGGGGCTTATTATTAATCAGGTTTAATGGCTGAAACATTAAAAAACATGGGTTAAAGGGGTTTGTATGGGGTAACAAAGGGGTAAGGGTTTAAGCATAAAAAGATGGGATTTTTGGTACTGTTTAGAGACTGCTTTAAATAGTACCCATGGACTGTTTCTGATTTTAAGTATAGTAATTCAATGAAGAAAGAAAGAGATGGAGAAGACAATTTTAGAAATCAATCCTAGAATCTCTTAGGCATCGCATTTTGGATTGGACTGCATCATACAATCCATAAAAGAGGCTTCAAAACTCTAAAAATTCTCTAAAACATTAACTCTATTAAATTAGAAGCATTACATGGCTTTATATAGACTACTTCCTTTTTCCAACTAGGACGAGGATTAGGATTACTAAAGAGGAAACTACTAGACTTTGACTCCAAAAATCTATCTAAGATAAAATAAAATTCATAAATAAAAGCCAATTAAACAACGTGACTAACAAGACGACCCATGGTCATACACAACCCATATCCGAAAAATTTACAAATTACCAAAATTACTCCTAACCATAAAAACTTAAAGAAAATTCATTTAAAACTAATAACTACTAGCATATTTAATCCAAAACAAACACAAACAATACTCTAATAATACTAGTAGCTTGAAACCATGCCAATTTCCACATATTGCCACTTCTTTAACTTTGCTTTCCTTATTCCAGATACTACTCTAATGTATACATACTCCACAAATTAGAATCGAACTTTGCAATTCCAAAAGACTTGTCAATTAAACAAACTTGAAAGTTGAAAATAGAAGGTAGGAAATCCCAATGATGATCATGACGACAGACACAATCGTACTATAAAGTAGCATCATTGCTTTAAACTAGAGGCGCATAATCAAAGTACTATATAAAAACCGGACTGCCAATAAAGCAGTATAGATGCTTTGAGCATAATCTAAGAAGCACGGACACTTCTAAGAAGGTGGTGTATCTGTGTCGTGTCGTGTCCGTGTCAGACACTGACACTCGTTGGACACTTCCCGACACTCGTCAAAACGTGTCTTATTTTTTAAGAAGTTTTTTTTTTTAAGATCCGAGCACTCTTTGGACACTCGTGTCCAATGCTTAAACACACATGTCCACTAATTAGACACACAAAATTAATTATAAGTTTGAACTAAATAACTTTAGATACAATAATAAAAGAAAAAATAATGTAAATTTATAAAATAAATGTTATATTACATTTTTTGATTATCTTTGAATAATATATTCATATATGAACTATAAAAAATATATAAAATAATATATTTTGTGCATGTCCATCACGTGTCGGGTCCTTCATTTTTTGAAAATTGTTGTGTCGGCGTGTTTGTGTCATATGCATGTAGTGTCATGTGTCCGTGCCTATGCTTCTTAGAATATAATCAAGATTTTAAAAAGCGGCTGCAAGTGTTATGTAATGGCTGTAGTGGTTACCGCCATTCGTTACGACCCCTATAGTAGTGCAACGGAAATTCACATATGTAACGGCCGTTTCGATGTTGCATAACGGACCTTTGCGGTACCATAACGGCCGCAACGGTCCGTTAGACACCATTACACCCTTTTACAATATTCTGAATAGCTTATTTTTCCTAAAAAAAAAAAACAAAAAAACAAAAGATTACAAAAAAAGAACAAATACTTAAGTGATCCAAGCCCAAAGAAAAAATCATACATGAATTTGTTTTTCTTTATAATTTTTTTTTTAAAAATTCATAGCATAATTTTTATTTTATAATCCTTTCATTTAATAATTGTGAGTATTTTTTATTCAGTTAGTTCAAGTATTGGCAAAAAATAATTTGTAGACATTTAAAATCAATTATTCTTAAAATCATTAACTATTGAAATAAAATGTAAAAAGCTTCTTTTATAGTGATTTGAAAATATGAAATGTATTCGATCATACTTAAAAATTAACAAAAATTGATCAAAATTTATTTTAAATCCCAATAAATGTGATTCTGGGAAAAATAAAATAAAAATAAGTGTATCGGTAAATTTTATTCAAATTGTGCAAAAAATAAAAAAAATCACGGTCCCAGTTACCGCAACCGTTACGCGACGGCCTTCACACCCCACAACCGCTTTTCAAAACCTTGAGCATAATGTATTCATATTGCAATAATAGTGCACTCTGACATACTACACCAAAAAAAGGAAAAAGAATAATGTTATTAAAAACTTAAACTAACATTTGAAATCCAACTGGAAAGCTATTTTGAGCTATTTAAACTCAATTACAAGGTCATATTTTCCTTCTCACAACAATTGGGAAGGGAACAATCATTAGTACAAATGGGTATATGACTAGTTTACAATCCAATTTTCCATACGAACATCACCAGATAGGAGATAATAAGTCCTCAGTGTCATCAACGACATCAGAGAAAAGAAACTTTTGTGTTAAGATATTGACACCAAACAAGTCACAAAACATGGCACTTAATAAAAATTATGTTAGAAAACTCACCACGAAATATATGTCTAAATTTCCATTCATTATCATGCAGATCCCTTGCTATTAATTCTTGAGCTGGAGGTTGCTGGGAGAAGTCCTGTTTATCAAAAAGTATTGTTTAGAAATCACAGGATTCAAAGGGAGGCAAATCTTAAAACTGGCCAATTTACTCCATAGCAGCCAAAATAATTTTACCAATGGAGGGAACACTTTTTCAGCTGCCCGACGAGGAACTGAAAATCCTCCATGAGTACTTGTGTCACTGGCTGTCAATGTTTTGCAAAAATAATTTGTCGGCTGCTTGCTGGGGGCACCTAAATCTGCTGGAAGGAAAGAGGCATCCTTTTGTTCTTCCTACAAAAAGTTATACAAATTCAGGGGTAAAGAAAAGAAAAGAAAAAAGTTGATCATAAAACTAGTAAATAAACGTAAATAATAGATTAGCATACCGGGCTCAGTGGCTGCAAGGTCATCTGAGCATATACCTCATCTGTCTCTACATCCGCCTAGTAAAAAAAATTTTGAGTTTCTAGAAACCACCTTGTAAAATAACCAGAACCAGAAAATAGAACTAAAGATTCCTTACATGCATGGTCACATTGTGAAGCTGACAAATGAGTTGTGGAGATAAGCTTGGGTGGTTAGGTATATGGGCATCCACTTCTTTGTTGGTTGATGCAGTAACCTACGTAGGTATATGAAGATTTGCAGAAGTCAACAATAGTAACTGTTTAATTTCATCAACCAGATCAAAAACAATACAAAACCATAATCATCCAAATTTTAATATGAACACAACAGTTTAAACTGCAAACAAGCAGTTAGAGATATGTGATAACAGTTCAAGAGATGACTAGAACGAGTGACCAAGGTTTTAAATAACAGTGGTGGCTTCCATAACAGTAACAGCGATGTTGACGCACGTTTGCCAAGTGTAACAGTTGTAGCATAATAGCCCAATGCTTAAAATATGCTGGAACATATTATACCAAATAACAGAAGGATGCTTATAAAAATAGACAAACATGAAACAAATTTTATTTGCTAAGCAAGCATGAATAAACACATTGCCTGCCATGGACAGACTTCAAAAATCTAAAAGCAGGGAACATGTCAAAACCAATCAAAGTAGACTGACCTGCTCACTATGGCCCTGAGGGAAATACACCACGCGGCTTCCAACAGCAGGTAGGGAAACAAGAGGACCAGCACATGCATGCCAAAGTTCAGAATTCAGACATCTCTTCTCCCCTGCAGATTATCAATGTAATTTTTTTACAAGAAATCAGTCTAACAACAATGTTTTGCAGCTGAAGAGGGAATTGAAAATGGAAATAAAAAAGGTGTGTGAAATGTATTCCAAATCCGTCCCCAAATCCATGAACCAAACACAGTCTAAAAAGATCTCCAAAACAGGAAAAGAGGGAAAAAGACAGAAATTCAACAAATAAACCCAAAAAGAGGAAAAAAAAAATGAACCAGAACCAGAACCAGAAGTTGCAACAACAATATTTTGCAGCTGAACTAGACACTAATGCTGTGTTTGGTTAGGAAATTTGAGGGATTTAGGTGAATGTGAATAAAACATACCTATATTCACCTAGTTTCGCACACTTTTTCCTTTTCCCTTTCCCTTTCCCTTTCCAAATCCTCCCAAAATCCCCCAACCAAAACCCTTTCCAAATCCTCCCAAAATCCCCCAACCAAAACACAGCGTAAAAGATCTCCAAACCAGGAAAACAGGGAAAAAGACTGAAATTCAACAACACAAAAAAAGAACCCAGAGAAATATACCTTCAGGAGACTGCTGAGTGAAACCAGCAGAAGAGAACCTCATTTCTGAAATGATAATATCACCTAAAATTGGTAGCCACAAAGGCTATTACCACAATAGCTCAGCACTAAATGTCCCAAAGGCTTCTTGCACTTCCTTCCCAGCCAAAAACACCATAATACCTTCACTTTGCCCCTACAAACTCCATCCAAATCTGAATGTACTCCTCAAAACCACCAAACCCAACAAATATATTACTAAGAAATGATGAGGATTGTTGTATGCAGAGACTGCGTATGGATGTTATGGACAAAACCACCAAGAAACCCCCGCCAGAACCTTCAACCAAAACCAGTTCCACTACAAAACACAATCGATTTCGGCGTCATCGGCACTTGATCTTCTTCACCCAACCCCAAATAGACCCTTGAGTAATTAAAAACTTGATGAATCAAAACCTTCACCAAATTAACCAGTACATTTCAGCTCAAACCCTAACAAAACTCACCACACCAGCCCCAATTGCTTGCCTCAAATTCACCCAACCTCAAGATTGGCTACTCCAGGTAGCTCAAGAGCTTCCAATACCCTACTTCTAACCCAAAATACAACAACCCAGAAAGCGCAAAGAAGTGAGGAACTCTTCAGATCTTAGCTTCATTGAGCCAAATTCATCATAAGCAAGAGCCAGAGAAATCCCCAATTTCGAGCTTCAACAGTACCAAAAAGAGACTTTGAGCAGAAAAGAAAACCCAAATCCCCAAAACACTATATTCACAGATTCAGTTGACGAAGCGAGAGCATATTCAGAACTACATCACACAGTATGATAATCCATAAAAAGAACATATTCATACAAACTAGACATAATAGAATTGTATATTTGTGAGTATTCAGTGGGACTCAAGTGGAATACCAGGTACATGGTATACTTTCCAGTAATGGAAATGGAAGAGTACTACTAGTGAGAACATAGTTTGGTTTTATGATTCACGGCTTAGAAAAATTGAAAAAATATATATTTATATTTTTTTTATTTTCATTATTTTTTTTTATATTTTAAGTAAGTTTTTTGGAAAATTTATTTATAAATCCTTGATGATCTAATTAATCCCAAAAGTTTTTTTTATAGATCAATTAGCCCTATTGATTTTGAAAAGATAAATTTAATATATTATTTAAAAATTAAATTTACGATTATACTTTTAGGTGGTATTTGTTTGAAAGGATTCAAGCATGAGATATGATTAATAGTCCATTCGGACTAATAATTCGTTATTTGATTGAAATTTTTTACACTGAACTAATAGTCCATTCAGACTATGAATCCCAAATCTATGGAATTATTTTATCCCATGGGGGATGGGACACAATCCATAGGATAACTCATCTCAGGGGATTAGGTAGTGAAATTACATTTTTGACCTTTTACTATTTAATATCTTTTTAAAAATAAAATTTATTTATTAAATTATTTATTAAATTATTTATACTATTATACTTATTAAATTATTTATTTTAATAATATGGCATTAATTATACTTAGTAAAGTAAAATATAATTTAAAAATCTCAACTACAAATTAAAATAAAGTTATGTAATTTTTATTAATATTTTATTTTTTTATTTTTTTTAAGTTCTAGTAAACAAATAAAATAAAATTTATAATTCAGATTTAATATTCCTATTATTTTGTAAATAATTTAAAATGACAAAATAGTCTTTTGAGTATTTATTCTTCTCCATAATATCTCAAACAAAAATAGGATTCAATATAATAGTCTAATCTAGATATCTATTCTTATGACTAAACAAATATAAGATACAAATCCAGTCCAATCAAATAGTTCGGGGATAATGTATCTTAGGACTAACAATCCGGTAGATTATAATCCCCCATATCCAGTTCGTGCAAACAAACACACCGTTATTTCTATTATGTTTTCTTCCTTCTTTTTGTTTTTTATTTTTTGTTTTTTGTTTTTCGTTTTTTGTGCTAGAAATGTAAGATACACAACTTATGATAATCAAATTTGAGATGAATTTTTATACGAGAATCTTTTTATTTGGAATAACTTGAAATATGAAAATTTTCAAATATTCCAAAAGGATGTGAGATAATTTAAATATTTCAAAAAGAGTACATAAACTCCTTAATAAGTTTGAGCAAATATAATACATAAAAAAAATTCCTTATTGCACTTTTTTTAAACATAATATTCCAATGTAACACTTCAAAAAAAGGATGTGAGATTTTTCAAACCATTCAAAAAGGGTGTGAGATTCTTCAAACCATTACAAAAGGAGTACAAAAATTCCTTAGTAAGCTTTAGGTAAATATATAATTTTAAACTGCGAGTGTTACGTTTGGAAAAAGTACACTGAGTAGTTTTTTAGTATTTTCATGTATATTACATTGGAGTGTTACGTTTGAGATTATATTGATTGAAGTGTTATGTTTGAGAAAAATATAATAAGAAGTTTTTTTGGGTGTTACATTGGAGTCTTATGTTTGAAAAATATTTAAAGTGTTACGTTGTTACGTTTAAGAAAAATATACTGAGGACTTTTTAAGTATGCTACTGAGAAATTTTTTAGTATGTTATATTGGAATATTACGTTGTTGGAGTGTTACGTTCTTATTCGCAATATAAGATTTGTTTAAGAAATAGGAAAAATTCGAAACTTCTATAGTACAGATTACCCAAATGTGTAATTTCACATTTGAAAAAACTCACTTTTATCTCTCAAAAATTTAAATCAAGCATGTAAGTGACTACATTTTTGTATAATTTCTCTTTTAATGGGACCTATAGGTTCATAAGAAAAAAGGAAATACTAAACAGTTTACAAAATCACATTTTGAAATTTTTTGGTGCTTCATCCAATTTTTTTTTTTAAATTTTTAGATATACTTAACATAAATAAATTTAAAAAGAATAATATTTGTAATTTTTTTTAAAAAAAAATCTACTAAATACCAAAAATATATAAAAATATATATATTTTATTATTTTTATATATTTATTAATTTTTTTAAATAATAGATTTAAAATTTAAAAAATATTCACTAAAAAAAAGACAAAAAAAAAAAGAAAAAATCAATTTTTAGAAAATTGAAACCAAATATATTTGGTTTGTGTTTCTGAAATTTTTTTTTTTAAATTTTTTATGAAAAATAAAAATTAATTCGATAAAAAATATTAAAAGTATCTTTTAAATTTTTTTAAAACAATTTTTGATCTCTTAAAAATAAAATTATATAAAAATAATAATTATTTTTATTTTTAAATTATTTTACTAAATTAATTTTTAATTTTTTAAAATAATTTCTAAAATAAATTTATAAATACCAAATCAAACCAAACCAAACCAAACCTCACCAATAATACATGCTGCTCTCTCCTCTTCTTCAATCGCAGTCGGCACAAAACGCCATTTGTTTCCCAATGTCATATTATACCAAGTACCCTATTAGAAAGAGAGTATATATTAGAGTGGGGGAAAGTGTGTTTAGATCTTTTTTAGAGAGAGAATTTAGATGAGGGAAGACGAATTTACGATCCTTGAGTACCGTTTCGGAAAATTTTTAATTATTGTAGGCTCTCAACTAGTATCTCCAATAAGGCATCCGTTTGGTAAGTTGGTTTTTAGATTTTTTTGGTTATTTTAGTCACAAAGATAAAATAGGCTATTTTAATCATAAAAAATAAAACATCACATTCAACCCATAATCATTACACTATTCTCTGTCCAAAAAATCAAAAAGTCATTCTCAAACTATGTTTTTTAACCCAGGTTAAAATAATCAAAAAAGTTAAAAAGTCAAAAAGCCAAAAAGTTCACCCACTTCCCAAACGAAGCCAACGTTACTTATTTTATTTTTTTCAAATTTTAGTTAAAAAAATACCTTATCTATTTTAGGGAATCATTTTTTTCAAATATTTACTCCAAACAATGGAGAATTTATTAAAACATCCTCTTTTAAGTACTTATATTTCAATTAGTTTATAAAATATTTTTATATTCTAGTAAGTCTTACTATTTTGCACATTTGATATACTAAGGCCAAGTTTGGCAACCCAAAATAAGTACACACTTTTTATCTTTTTTCTATCACATCATCTCTCTACTTTTTTGCACATCTTTTCATAAAAAGACAAAAAGTGCACTTATTTAGGTTATCCCAAACAACCCCTAAATTTTGATTCTCATATTAAAGGTATTTTTTAGACAATTTTATCCTTATAAATATTTTTTAAACCCTTAGTAAATTGGTGATGTGAACATTTATTAGCGTGTGAATGTTCACATTGATAGTATAAATATTCATATCATTAAACATTCACACCGTTAATATACACATTTATATGCGCTCCACCATATTATTATTAGGAATATGGTAGTAATTATGTTACCTATAGAATTTATTAGAATATAAGAAAATAACTTGGACTGAGTAGAATATAAGTAGATAAAAAAAAATTATAAATAACTGACCCCTCCAACAATACTCCTCTCTTTTTCTTTATTTATTTATAAATTTCTATTAAATATTCATTTTTATATTTTCTTTTTAAATTAAGATAATAGTCAACTTTCTTATCTTCTTCACACACACTCTCTTCACTTTCTGCACTAGTAAATGACTCCATGACTCGTCCATTTTCTAATCCCAGCACAGAAAGAATTGGTTCTGGATTTTTTTTTCTCCTCAAGAGCTGCTGCCATGGCTGTCAAAGAAGGGAAGCCAGAAAGAGACAATAGGAGGAAGGGCTGTTGGAACTGATTTGGCAAAATAAAAAGAATATTAATATTATTTTAAGTTTAGGAAAGGTTGGAGGCTCTGTACATTTATGGAGCATTTTGTACCACTCCCAAAATGAAGAGTTGTTTATGGAGCATTTTGTTCAGGCCTACTTGATGATGATTTATCAAACTCCCAAATAAATCATCACTAAGAGGGCCTGAACAAATATCAACTAAATAGGCTCGAGAAAGTCTCAACAAATTGGGCCGATGAAGTCCCCAACCAATTATATAAGTCTCAATCAACCTGTTTGAGAAAGTCCTAATTGAAAGGGTATTTAAGGCAATTGATCACCACAGGAGGGTATTATTTTCGAGAAAGTGAAACTCTCGAAGAAGATCCATTCTCTGAAGGGAGTGCTTAGACTAAAAAATGTTTGGATTCACGAACCCAAAGATCTTATAATACCGAACTCGAAAGGGTTTAAAAGCAAACCTAGAGATCTAAGTAATTGGCTTCGAAAGGGTTTGAAGCAACCTAGAGGCCGCTCCACAATGAGTCCCAGAATACTTGTAGATTTAGAACTATTTCCAAGATTGACACATCCTAACCATGAAGAAAGGGAGACCGAATAAGGACCCAATCTCGAGGATGGTGAGCTTGAAGATAAATTTTCTCTTCTGTTATGTTGGAAAATAATGGTTTCGGGGACTTTAATGCGAAATTAAAATGTGTCCTGTAAGAGGAGCTAATTTAAGCCCACTAAATTATTTAGGCCCAATAGCCCAAGATTAGTGGGCCCGAATTTATCGCAAGTCCAAGATCAGTGGGCCCAGATTTATCGCCATCAAACGGGCTGAATCGCTCTAAGCCTCGAAGGGGTTCGGATCCACGAACTTAGAGACTTAGAGACTTACTCGGGCCCGGACTCGAAAGGGTGTTGAACAAGCCTAGAGATCCGAGGCACTCGGACTCGAAAGGATTCGGACCTACGAATCTAGAGATCCGAAGCACTTGGCTTCGAACGGATTCAGATGCAATCTAGAAGCCGCTCCGTTAATGAGTCCCAGAACACTTGCGGGCTCGGAGCTTTCCGGGATCTACGCACCAGAACCATGGGCGTAATGGAGTTCGAACAAAGGACCCGATCCCGAATGTTTGGATTCACGAACCCAAAGATCTTATAATACCGAACTCGAAAGGGTTTAAAAGCAAACCTAGAGATCTAAG